CCGCCGCCGTTGTCACCATCACCATCATCGCCGCCACCGCCGCCACCGCCGCCGCCGCCACCGCCACCGCCACCGCCACCGCCGCTACCATCGTCGTCGTAGTCATTCTGCTCTGCGTCATCTTCGTGTAACCACCTTTCCACTCGGCACGATCTTTCATTGCCTTTATTTATCGCCCAGTCCCTCTCTCGTTCGGAGCCATGAAATGGTACGTGATCATTATTTCTTTCGAGACGATTCAAACTCTTTTACCCGTTCGCTATCTCCTCCCTTTTCGCTCTCTCCTTCTCTATACACTCTTCCCGATCTTTCAGTTGGCCAGTCAGTTTGTTTCAAAGTGTGCTCCTCCCTTGCGATGGCTAACTTTGACTAGTTTCATTTCCCTTGCGCATATTCGTCGATTTCCCGCAAGCGGAGCATGCTAAAGTGTGCAAATACATTTAAGTAATCACCCCGGAGAAAGCGCGTGAACCTGCGCACGCGTTCGTCCCGTCTGATATTTTTTCGCACCTTATTCTCGTGTCCTTGCTTTCGCGCGTGTTTCGAAGACACAGTGCAATTACGAGAAATTCCAATGAATGGAGAGTTTTCCGAATTGTTCGTTGATTCATAGGTGGTTGACAAAGAACGACAAAACCGCCTCGAAAAGTACCTTGGCGCGGAGAAAGATGCTACTCGGCGTATTATACACACATACGGAGTGGGGTCGTTTAAAAATAGATGTTTAAACTTAAATTGTATAGTACATATACGTATAAATTTATTTTCTTTTCAACAGGGTAAGGTCCCGTACAAAAGCAAAATTACCAACAAACAGTCGTAAAACGGTAGAAATGCAATGGTTACTATAATAACAATCGCAATCGCAATCGCAATCTTATGTTTAGCTGCACATATCCATTCATATTATCTCGGCACACGTTACCAGTCACAACTTCTTTTTCTGGGTGAAGGTTGTGCATCCAAGAAAAAATCTAAATGGTCCGTATATTCGTTGCAGTATAAAGTCTGCCTCCTCCAAATTGAAGTGGCTATTCTTGGGTACTCTACAGAAACTTTGATACTTTGATAGATGCGAAAGATGAAAATAATAACTCGGTTGCCACTCCATTACATTCGATGCGGATTAATGTATCTTTCTAAAAGCGTTTTATACTTTGTTAGAGTATTGTCGGTAACTACATAATACCAGCACATTCTAAATGCGTTCCAACTGTACACACAGTGTCCACTTAATGTGTTTCAAGAAACCGATCCTCTACGATACATTATTAATAATGTTGTCGATGCAAATTGAACAATTCGATCTAATACAAATTTCAAAGTCATTCGCTCCATTCATCTTTTCTAATATGAAAAAGTAATGAGATGTGGTTAAACGCAATCTCTTAACACATAACATAACATAACATAACATAACATAACATAACATAACATAACATAACATAACATAACATAACATAACATAACATAACATAACATAACATAACATAACATAACATAACATAACATAACATAACGTAAAGTAACGTAACATAACACTTTAAGAAACTCAGTCTCATATAGATAATTGTTTAAATACTCATAGATTTTAAGATAGTCGAAATTTATAAATGTACAACTATTAAGGAACGGATAAGTACCGCCTCAACAAAATCTTTCGGAAAATTTGATCGACAACGCCAATCTATTGTACAAATAATTATTAAAGTTGCCCACTACTTTGCAACAATACATTTTGAAAAGTTTTCAACGTATTCCATGTCACGCGCGATATTCGAAATCACGTCGCACATCGATGCGGCGCAACGAAACCCAACTTATCGCTAGGCGTTTCATTTAGGAAACTGAAATTTATCTTTTTCATACTTTCTACTATTACTCGATACTTTAACGACGACGACGACGACCACGATGATGATGATGATGATGATGATGATGATGAGGACGATAATAATAATAAATATGTTAATTCTAAACGATACAACACAAACATTGACATGTATTTTCCTAATGAATACTAACATTTAATTTAAACGAAAATTTCATAATGTAATAGTCTATTATTTCCTTATAACATATAACAGTAAAGTCGCATAGAACAATTAAACGTTACATGTAATTTTGTAGTTTATAATTTAATACAATAACGATAATAAGGTGTAATGAACCAGTATGATACTTAATATTTTCGGTATACACTATACTAAATACATTCTTATGTATTAACATAGAACAAAATATTAAAACCAACTGAAGAAAATTACAACTATATAATAAATGTAAAACTACTAATGCGTATACCGAGTACTATGCAAAATTGAGTTTATTCGACAGACAATTGTATCATTTAATTCGGTTTACTTTATTTGACTATAATGATTAATAACAATTAATTGCAACTATTATTAATCTTCATTCTTAACTTTTATTATTGATTATTATTACTAATTATTATTTATTGCACAACACATTAACAAATGTACTGTACACATTGTATTATTAAACATCTTAAAAATTGAACATTGGTGTTGTCTTATTAAATATATAAATATATATATAACATAGTAATGTTTGCTTCACTCTTACAAATTAACATCAAAATTATTAGATATATTTTCAAGTCTTTATTCGTACCTTCTACATAGACTACTTAGTATATTCAAAATTAATGAAACTTACAAATAAATATACATATTCGCTGGGACAAACGAATCGTGCACAATATCAAAGTTATGTCCATATAAATATATTATATGTTTATATTATACAAATATAATTACATATAATTGAATGCCACAATGATATACATATATCGCAAGGTAAATAGAACAAGCAAATAGTTCATGTAAACGAACACACTTTGTTCCTTTGAACATACAAATTTGTTGGCATTGTGAATAATACTTGGCAAAATTTACACTTCTATATTGTATATATTTTATATTATATTTTCTGTACCTTCTGGAAATAAAAATATTCTTGTTCGTAAAGAGTTATAAGCAATACAATGAAGACTAAGGATCTAATTTCGAATGGTAAACGTAACACGAAACTTTGTACGTTTCCGGAGCTCGATACCGTGGTTTTTCGCAGCAATATAAGAACATAACCTTAATTCGCTAAGAAAATTCAATCGGGCCTCTATTCGTGAACCGTTTCACTTTCTAAAAAGTCATGAATGTTTCTATGATACTTTTAAACGATACGCTAGAACTGAAAAGGGTAAAAAGTAAAAGGTATCACGAAATTAAGGACTCGGATAACCGCTACAATCTACGATAGATGAACACGTGTGACGTAGCTACGCTGAATATGCGTATACCGTGCGAAGCAAAGTTCGCCAAGTGAAATGTTGCAATAAACGGGAACATTCGGAACATTTCATACGCGACAATAAGGGAGAAAAGAAAGGACGGTGTTAAAGGGAAAAAAGAAATACATATGAAAAGATGTTGCGGTGTTTACACCGCGAATCGATTAAACCTTGAAATATTCGAAAGAATAGTTGGAACAGAGAGGACGATAGAGACAGACATCGATCGAGCATTCAGGTCGCTATCTTGCGGCGTTTACAAGCATTACGAGTGTAGTTATACAAAATCGAAAAATGGCTGTTCTATCGGTGTTTCACGGGAAATAGTACGTACCTAGAGCTCTTACAGACGTATCGAATACATCTTCTTTGTCGCGAACAAAGTGATTGGAAAGATAAAATGAGGAGTGAGACTAGAAAGAAAGAAAAAGTAAAATAGCGAACGGTCGAATTAAGCCGCGGCAGAGAGAAACATAAGAGAACGGTGGGGTGGGGTGGGGTGGAACAGTGGGAGAGGGTGAGAAAGGAAAAGGAGAGAAAGAAAGATGGAAGGGTGAAGCGAAGATAGAGTTAGCGGGAAGGGGAAGAAATAGTGATAGCAAGTATCGAAGGAAAAGGAGACAAGGAGAGAGATGCGAATGGAAAGTGCGCAATCGTGAAAAGACTTGTACACTGACTGGAGAAACTTTGGATTTCGAGGAAACACCGTCGAGGATTAATAGTTCATCGTTAATAGAATATCATCGTTAGTAAAAAAGATATATTATTGAGTCTGGATCGATGGGTGGTGTGCGGGCGAGGATTCAGAATGAGCCTCTCGATGCAATGAAATGTTACGTACAACTACAACTGCAACCGCAACTACGACCAACAACCAAATCAAAAGAATAGAACTATTATTTTCTTTAGCCGTGATCCCTCCCTTTTGTTGGTTTCTTTGCACGACTCGGATTCATTCGGTTATGTTCGTAATGATTCTCACGCGAGTTCACGCGACTCGGCAACTTTTAGCTGCAGGAATCGTTTGAAAGTTTCGAGGGTGTGATTATCGAGGAAGAATCCGCGAATGATTCGCGAAAAGGAAAAAGAAAGTCAAATGTGACGGGTGACGGCTCGAACGCAGCCGCATGACGGATAGAACGGTTGATCGTCGTTCCCTATGTATCCACTGTATCCTTCGCTCGCACGCAATCATGGCTGCCTAACACAGGGCGCACAGTATCGACCAATTTTCTACTGCAATTTTGCTTTAGGTTAAAAACCTAACCTATCACGGTTTCAGGGCGTGTCGTTTGTCTTGCGTTGACAGCTACAAAGTTCGTTGTATCAAGCCATTCCTTACTGTCTGTATTAACGTCACATCAATACATTTCAATTCTACTTCCGCCCTTTTACTTATTTCCATTCGATTATATGTTATGATTTCTCGCGTTCCAAAGAGAGGCCAACGGAGGCCTAAACGATTCAGCATGCAACAAATTTCACGTATCTTAAACCACTCGAACGTAAGGGATCTTACGTTCTTTCTTTTCTTTTGTTTGTTTTTTAGGCATCCCGATCATTCGACCAATTTGCTGCCGAGGAATGTAGGCGACGAAAGTACGGATCAGAACAATAACATAACTATGACGAGCGAGGATCTGCTACAGCCTGGCCATGTGGTCAAAGAACGCTGGAAAGTCGTGAGTCATTTGATATTGTCCTTTAAATGCTGCCTCTATTCTTATCGAATGTCTTTCCTCGTATTCGTTTCCATTTAACCGATCATTCCTGCATCGCAGATTAGAAAAATAGGAGGTGGAGGATTTGGGGAAATTTACGAAGGTATAGATTTAATGACAAAGGAGCAAGTCGCGTTAAAAGTGGAGTCTGCTCGTCAGCCGAAGCAGGTCCTTAAAATGGAAGTCGCCGTATTGAAGAAACTCCAGGGTTCGCAAACATTTCGCACCATCGGATATAGAGAGAGAATATTCCAGTTAATATTTACACCTGTTACAGGTATGGAACACGTGTGCAGATTTATCGGTTGCGGTCGAAACGAACGTTTCAATTATGTCGTGATGCAATTGCAAGGGAAAAATTTGGCTGAATTGCGTCGTGCCCAGCCGAGAGGTGCGTTTTCATTGTCCACCACCCTTCGTTTAGGACTTCAAATTCTTCAAGCAATAGAAAGTATACATCAAGTAGGTTTTCTTCACAGAGACATTAAACCGGTAAGCATAGTTTTGTTATAATATCTTTCTCTTTGCCAGGGATCATTCTATGCTTTCAATGCATCGAACGGCCAAAGTGATTTTCATTTAGAACAGTACCAATGGTGCCAACTTTTCTAAATTACTTGTTTTCAGCGGAAAGAGACAGGTTCTTTTTGACTTTCCGTGTGGCCAGTTTTCATGGAATTAGAAAATCTGTGTTTAGTAAAAATGAATTTGTAACAGTAACAAAGTCCAGAACTAGATTTACGCGATCGCCTAATTTTCAATGGTGGCTTTCTGAAGGGATTACTTTTGTTTCCAGTCGAATTTCTCAATCGGACGGCTTCCAAATAACTCGAGACTGGTATACATGCTAGACTTTGGACTATCTCGTCAGTTTACAACTGCCACCGGTGAAGTTCGGCCGCCTCGCGGTGCAGCAGGATTCAGAGGAACCGTCCGTTACGCGTCCGTGAATGCACACAAAAATAAAGAAATGGGCAGACACGATGATCTGTGGTCACTGTTTTATATGTTGGTGGAATTTGTTAATGGACAACTTCCATGGCGAAAAATAAAGGATAAAGAACAAGTATACCTACAAGTTACAGAATAGTTTTTAGTCAGTCTTTTCATAATGGGTAACATGTCTGACTTTTCGTCCTATAGGTGGGTCTCATGAAAGAGAAGTACGATCACTATTCACTCTTGAAACACCTTCCATCCGACTTTCGAGGTTTCCTGGTACACATTCAGGTACCGCTTTACCTTTGGCAACTCTCCGACTTGCGACGCTCTGAAATTTCAATTCTATTTACCGGTCGCGAACTAAAACAATGTTTCAGAGTTTGGAATACGCGGATAAACCAGACTACGAGATGCTAGCGGGATTATTCGAGCGTTGTATGAAACGCAGGGGTGTAAAAACGAACGATCCCTACGACTGGGAGAGACCGATGATGATGGTCAATGACAGTTTACCAACTACCAGATCTTTACCCGCGGTGACCGTGCCACCCGTATTAACTACAGCGACTACTGTCAATCAACCACCGCCTGCATCGAACGTCGACACGAACAATCAAGAGAACGTCGAACCTGACAACAGGAAAGAATTAGACGTAAGACGCGATAACGCAGCCAGCGAACTGGACCGATTCTCGGGTCTTTCTGGCATAGAGATTGCGTACGCTGGACGTATTGTAACGCGTTTCGAGCAGTCGGTACTGCTATTCCGTACTACCGTTTTCCTTCTTTTCCCAGATACAATTCGATTACGAAAGCATATGCAGAAGAAACAAACAACGCGGCGTCGAAGGATCTTCGGTACCGTTCACCTCAGCTATCAGCAATCACGGCCGGGATAAGAATTGTAACGCTACGATACCCACGATCGACAATGCCCATCAACAAACCAGGCAGCAAACTGTTCTTCCGCCAACGACTCATGGTCTTTATTACTTTCTATCAATCAAACGTTTCCCTTCGTTTCCTCTACGTCCTCTATATGTTGGTAGGTTCACCCAAAAAACGGCGTGCAGTTTCAATGGCTGCCGAACCCCAAACAGGAGTGGTAGCGGTCGAGAAACCCGTGGACAACGAAGGAGACGCATTAATGGCATCCGCTCGTTCCGCTTCGGAGGTTACTCGGAATAAAATTAGCGCAAAGCTGCCAGCACCGTTGAGAAAATCGCAAAGCGGAGCATTCGTTCGAGTTCGGGTGAGGCCTGCAACCGAACCAACAACCGAAGAGCCGCCGAGTCCTCGAGTGCAAACCGAAGTCGATGCATCTTATTGTTCCTATGATGTTACTAATCCGAAATACGTCGGCAATCAAAGTCCCGTATGTGTCGCAAACCTATATTGGCTGGATCAGAGTTTCGTTCCGCGAGTTTCTTTCGAAGGATATTTTCAAAGGATCGTCCTTCGATGCGACAGGTGACGGAACAAAGGGAGCCACTGAAAAGGGAGCTGCGTAGAAGAACAGACGGTCGACAGCAGACACGAGCGAGCCGTGCCACGATAAGGGAACACTCCATCACGCAGTTTGCACAGATAGACGACGACAACGTGTCCGCGTTGCAACAAGTAACGAAAGGCGGTGGCGGATTGACGCTGGCCTCCCAATGGAAGTCGCAATTCGACGATTCCGAGGAGACCGACAACGAATGGAAAGGAGAGAATTTGCAAAGTCCCGAACATAAAGGGACCGCGTTGCCAGCTATAGTTCCGCAGG